GATTAGAAAAAAAAAGTGTGAATTTATGGGTAATAATCTTTTCCTTTAAAGTGCTAAAAGTATTGGGCCTTAGAAATTAAGCTACCATTAGTGATTATGAATTGGTTCTGTTTCAAGTTTTAAATATATGATAGTGACTTATGGTATAGTTGTAATTCTGAATTTTCTTATATGGTATAATCTGATAAACAAATTGTATCAACTCTGTTGTTGAAAAAGCAATTTCTCTTATGATCTAGAGATGTTAGATAAGAATTGTTACCCCTCCCCCATAGGGGGGTTAGAATAAACTTCCAAGTTTTATATACCTTTAAGAGGAAGTTTCACCTAAAATTATTGTCCACTGTGTGCAAAAGTTTTCTATGTTGTGTATTTCCTACTGAGTAAATGAGAATCCTTGGGGAAAATACAGGGGTGTGATTTTCAAGCCTGCTTCATCTAAAGATATATTTATCTATGTTAATTTGGAGATTTATGGACTACCACATTTACTATCTATGTGAGATTCCAGAATGTAATTATTTTCCAGTGATATATTTAAAGACTAAGGAAAGAAAATACACTGAGTAAGTTTTTAAAAGGCTTGGTAATATTTGTTATTGTGATAAGACTAATTTAATTGGGTGTGTTTTTCATGGCTTATAAAAACTGATTTTCTTCTCCATTTCAAACACCTTTTTGACTAAGGAACTTTGTGATATTTAGGAATTCTGTAATAACTAGGAATTTAGTCTGTTACAATACTTTGGGAATTTATTTGTGTTATGTAAGGACCTCTTACATCAACTTCGTTTTAAGAATTGCAATTTTAAAGGTATATTTTTACTCTAAGGTGGAAAAGAGAGATATCTGTTTAAAAGTTTCCAACCAATGTTCTTCATAAAAGTTCAATGATTATCCTTCTTAACATCAGGAGAAATTTTAAACTGTTTTTAAAGAAGGGAAATGCTTTTAGAAGAAATGTCTTGTTTGATTATTTTTTTGAAGGCCTACTAAATTTTTATTTGCAAGATAATTTCCTGCTAAATTACTGTAATGAGCTGTAAAGCAGAAGAGATCTTGCTGTTTTGATCTGAATCTGTAGTCATTTCATGGCCTAAGCAAGAGTTAAATTAGTATTTGAACTTATATGTATAAGATTCAAATCCTGAAGTGTCTCATTCTTCCAGTGAGTATAATTAGAGAAGAATAAACAAGCTTGTGAACAAGGACATAAATCCATCAACTTGTGAGGTTAAAGTTAGGAACCTCTTTGTTTTATTTAAGGAATAGGATTCCAGTACAGACAGTCATGTCAGTAAAGAGTAGTAACTTATGAACTCTTTTGTGTTGACTTAATGGGAAATCTAATATTATTTTTAACCTGGCATTAGGACATGTGAAGAAATCTATGCAAAGTGCTCAAGACTCACCATAAGATGTTCCCATTGTTTAAAGGAATTATGAGAGCAGTAGCATTTTTCAGTGACCAATCTCTTACTGTTACCAATGTGAGATTAAATTCTTATTATCTAGGATATGTGACTTTATGGGACAGCAATTTACTATTGTTTTGAGCTTTGATTACAGGGATAATTGTCTGAATAGTCATGAAGCCAACAGTAGAATGGCATGTGATACAGGCTGAGAACTGATAAAGGTGGATGTCTGTGCCTGGGAAGAGTTTTGAGTACGACCTTGGACACAGCCTAGGTAGGATCTTCCTGACTCTATTTCCCAATTGTGCTGTTTCCTTTCTGAAAAGGAAAATTCCCCACTTGGTTAATCCTGAGCCCTGCCTTTAACATCCAGTGACTACAGGATTGGCTATCAGATGTGACTCATGCCTGGAATCAAACAGAGCTAAGGAAGCTCTTTCTTTCTGATATGATATATGACATTGTCCCTCTTTTTCTTTTATAGCAAATTTCTATAATCAAGAAGTTCTGTAAGTACAATACTGAATTTATTAAATAATAGATGGATACTGGAACATCTCTGAGTTGCCATAATAGGATGCAAGTATGAATAGCATGTAATTTTAACTTACATTCATGGCCAACGAATAATAATATAGGGATAACATCCTCCTAAGGAGGAAATATTTAGACAAAGTAAGAAGACACAGATGTAGTGTGATAGATGTCTAAGTAAAAAGGATAGGAGTTTTGAGAAAAGCAACAGGATTAGACTGATTGTTCTAAGAATTATATACAGATGTATATGATTGACTTCCAAAATTTATCTATCATGGGAATTCAAGCATGTTTTGGTAATAAGATCTCAAATTTGGATTTTTACACCAAAAATTGTATAGGATAGTGGTAAAAGTAAGTGAAATTATTTCTCCTTTATTAAAGTATCTGTCTGGTAATTTTAAAAGGCAGGAGAGCTCATTTTATGGTTGGACCCTCACATTTTAAAAGATTCTTATACCAGATACAGGATTTAGGTAAGAACAGAAGCAGCAGAAATGGACAACCAAATTTAAGTGATTGTACTAATTTATACTAAGTCAGAATTATCTGGGAACTTCTAGATCTAAACCAGAGAAGCAGAACTCCCTTTTTGAACTGCCTGAGAATAAAACCTATTGTACATGGGACATCTGGGATTCAAAAGGTACAGTTAAAATAGACATTGGGAAGAGGTTGCTGGGAAACAAGGAACTTAATGTTAGTTAACATTGGTAATAATGATTGCATTGATTTGTATCGTTCATGATTAAGGTTTTCTTGGTATCTTGGTGACATGTAAATCTCCCTTCTCAAAACTAGTCCGTTATGAACCCTGTAAATAGTTTAATCTGTACCTCTACTTAATGCAATTTTGTGAATTATGAGAAAACTTTGTTGTATCGTTTGGACCTAGCCCTGCATGGCTGGGAAACTGAACCATCTCTATATGCCTTTAACTAAGGACTTATGTTATGCTGTTTTCTCTCAATTATCAACTCATACCTCTTCTAAGAGCCCCTAGCAGGTCTATGTGACTACTCCCATACTGCTAATTTATGGATGTGGACTCTGGGATAATCTGAGGATGCCTGTTCCAATTGGACATCTCCTCCATCCCCTGAGGAAGAAGAAGGTTTTTCCCCACACCTTCCTTGGTCTACTGGTGAAGCCTTCGGCTCACCTTTGACCAAAAAGAAGAAATGATAGTCATTTAAGATCAACTGAGCCCAAATAAGGACCAAAAACCTGAATTAATCTTTTCTCTGAGTAAACTGAGAATGCTCCTTCCTGTGTCAACAGCTGAAGCTGGCCAAGAGCATTCTTCTGTTTATGACCACCAAGGCACCTACATTTAATCCAGACACTACCTGAATAAGGGGACTTTTCTTATCTTGGTATTTTGTGGACATAGGCTATGTTGTGTCATGTTAATGGTAAAGGAAACACAGATATCCTGGATCTACAATTTACACCTTGACATTCTCCTATTTTATTGTATTTCCAACCTATTCAATTAAGAAAATTCCTTTCTCATGCAATGGTTAAACATATATGGAGTTTATGTTTAAATCTGAGTAACACAGACATCCTGAGTCGGGGCTTGAATGTCCTCCTAAAAGTGCTTGATTCAGAGTTGTCGATAATTTCAGGGAATAAACAATATGGATTTGCTTATCACCTAGCTTGTAGCCTCTCTAACCATCTTTCAGGTCGACAAGGGTCACACAGCTAGTATTTGAGTCTGGATTTGAATTCAGGTCTTCCTGACTCCTGGCCCAGGGCTCTATCCACTGCCCCACCTAGCAGCTCCAAGTAATTCTTTAAAGCCAACAGCTGATTTGCATAGATAAAGTGAGTTTCTGAAATCTAGGAAGTCTAAAAACGCCAAATTTGCAAATTCCTTCCCTCAAAACCTGGCGCTCATCCCCCTAACCACTATGTTTTGAGGAAATACTGAGAGGTAGAGTCAGTGTTTGTGAAAGTCCATTTTACGGACGAGAAAACCGAAGGAGTGGGATCCTGGAAGGGACTTACTGGCCTATGGCCCACACATTCAGTCAGATCTAGGATTCAGAACAGGGCTAGCGGCCAGTGTTGAGAGCACTGGGCTGGCCTGAATTCAAATCCTACTCAGTAAACCCCAGCGGCTCCCTATTACCTCGGGGATCCCGAGATCCCATCAGCCTTGGGACCCGACCTCATTACACCCTTCTGTCCTGCATTGAACTCCAGAGCTTCCATTTAAGGGGGGAGCCTGGCTGCTGCCCTGCTCTGGGGGCTTCTTTTGACTTTTTCACTTAGCCGCCCCCCCCACCTTCCCCTTTCCCCCTCCCCCCTTCAGTTTGTAAACTCCTTGAAGACAGACTGTCTTTCCCTTTGCTTTTATTTGTATGCCCAGCGCTTAACACAGTGCCTAGCACATAGCAGACACTTAATAAATGGTGACTGATGTATTTACTGGGGAAGGGACAGCTGCCCACCCAGAGGAGGGGGAGGGAAGAGACGGTCAAAGATCCAGAGACCTCTCCCCTCCCCCCACTCCCCTGTCCAGCCAGGATGCTCAAAGAGGGTGTAAATAGTGGGGGAGGGTCTTTCCCAGCCTCGAGGGTCCCGCGTATGCCTGGGCCAATGAGAGCGTCTTTGGCCTTCCCAAGTGGGGAGGGGGAGCGTCGGTATAAGCTGCCCAGCTCTCTTACCCCTCAGCCCCCCACCTCCATCCTTTCGGGCTGAGCAGGCCTTGGGAGTGGGAAGGGGGAGGGGCGTGCCTCTTTGAATTTCTAGCCCCTCCTCTCACCCCCCCCTACACACCTTGCCCCTCTCCTAGGCATCTGGAACTCTGGGTTCCATTGGTCCACCGGGCAGAGCTGGAGGTCTCTTGCCTAGGGAAGGTCGTCGGATGCCACTCGGCCCTCCCATTTCTCCCCATGTAGCCCCTAAAGCCCAGATCACGCAGTACCTTAGTGGCCGAGTCTGAACTCGAATCCATACCCCTGGCCCGGGGCCGAAGGGCGGAGGCCCAGGATTGCACGCATCCATCTTCACAGACAAACCGGAACCCCACCCATGGACCACAAGATCCTCGAAGTTCAAAAGTTCCTGGAAGACGGGTCCCTGCCGGACCACCTGGTGACTCCGACGCAGAAGCGCGACTTTCGCAGGCGGGCCCAGAAATTCGCACTGGAAGGTGAGTCGGGAGGCTGCGGATTATCCGCCCGGGGAGCCCAGCCCACAGGGTTAAATCTCTTGGGCCTCAGGGCTTCCTGCGGGGGCGTAGGATAGTAGTTTGAGACCTGGACGGTCTTCTAGGCAGCCGAACCCGAGCAGGCGATCGAGGGAGGACATGCGAGTGGTTTTGGGAGCAGCAGCTGCAGCTGGGCTGACCTGACTCCAAAGTGCAATGTGTGAACGGAGGCCATGTGTAATCCGCCTGCAAACCTAGCCCGGAGGCGGCTGGGGAAGGGTTCTAGATGCCAAACGAGCTCTTTTAGCCTAAGAACACTGGGGAGCTACGGGAGATTCTACAGTAAGTGAGGGGCACGGTCTGGGCTTTAGAAATAACAAAAGGTTTTCTGTGTGGAGGAATCAGTGAGGAGGGGAGAGTTTCATAACAAACTGGAAGGGGGGTGTGCGGTGTGATGAAAGCCTAGAAGAGGGTGACTCTGCTAAGAGGTGGCGGCAGGAACCCAGCAAACCCAGACATTGGAAGTGGCAGAGCCAGGATTCAGCTCCTCTAATTTCAAATACCAATTTCTGGGACTGAGTGAGGGCCGGGTCTGCCCTTCCTCCTGGAGGATCGGGGGAGGATCCGGATTATTTCATTTATGTTCAGAGCTGGGAATGACCTCCGCCGTCTCCTTGAACAGCCTTCCCCCCACCCTCCCCCGCCTTGTACACCCTCCTCCCCACCCTCTCGTTTAACCGAATCTTTCCAGGTGTTAGGTGGCAGGCCTGGTCCTTTTAAAAAGTAGATCCACCTTTTCCCTCCGTGCTGGCTTCCCTGAGGCCTGGACCCTGTCCTTCAATCTTAGGGCTCCGTGGGGCGTAGCTTTCGATCTGGCGGGGTCTTTGAGGCCACCACTAGTATCTGAAACTATTCCCGGGCAGGTTAGTGGGTCCCTCCACCTTGGAGGTCTCCTAAGCCGACGATGGACACCAATGGGCCTGTGACATAGAATTCCTTCCATGTACAATATGGATTAGATCAGGGATGAACTAGGTTTTTAAAATGTTTTGACAACTGTATTTATTATTCTGAGAAGGGGTCCCTGAGTGCCTCCAAAGGGCTCCATCTAGCTCAATACAAAAAAGGTCAGGCTCCTTGGCCTCCATGTCAGTGGCGTCCCCTCCAACTCTCAATTCTGTAATCTGGATAAGGGGACATGGTGGAGTGATATTTGATCTGGAGATATTAGGATAGGTCTTCCTGGAGAATGGCTGGAGTTTGACCACTGTGGGGGGGTGGAGTGGGGTGGGGCATGGCCTGATCAGACCTGAACCGAGCTGACTGAAGGATGAGCTGGAGGGGGAGAAGCTTGAGGCAGGGAGACCTACCAGCAGGCTATTGTAATAGACCAGGTAGGAAGTGATGTAGTGCCCCTCAGCTCCCCTTGACTTTGACCTCATCCTCATCACAGTTGTTGGGACTTCTATGATCCAGAATGCTGAAACTGCCTCTCTGAAGACCACAGACGCCTCTCAATCCATCTCTCCCCATCTACTTCAGCCCTCTCAAACCTCTGTTCACTTGTCTCCTTCCCCCCACTGGTGTTTTTTCTGTCCCTTCCCTCCTTTCCCCCTATTTTCTTCTCTTGGAAGTCTTTCACCTAATAATTAGAATCACTTCAATTTTGTGCTCTCGCCTTGTCGGGATCCCTCATCTTTCCTCTCCCCCATCATTGCTCCTCTCCTTCCCACTGCCCACCCACCGAAGATGGGAGAAAATCCCTCATTGGGGTCCACTTCTGTGTATTGTGCCTCATTAGGAGGCAGCAAGGCCAGAGGGGGAATGCTGCCTCCCACTATTACTGGCTGCACACTTAATAAACCTCTTGGCTTCAGTTTCCCCATCTGCAAAATAGGCATAATAATAGCACCTTACTTACCGTTGTTGTGAAGATGGAATGAGTTAACATATGTAAAGGGCTTGTGGAAAGCATTTAGGAAATGTTAGTTGTTATTCTTCTCTCCTCCCTCCCCCGGGTGCTGCTCCGCCAACCTTTGCATCTTCTGGCATAAGCCTGAGACTTGGATTCTCCAAGTACAAGCTGGAGGCCAGCACCATCCCCCTCTGTTCCTGCGTCTGAGCCAGATGAATGAAGAAGAAACAATTCTCTCTAGGGTACTAGCGTCTCAGACGTTTGAGCCTTGCAGCAATCCTTCGAGGTGGTAGGGGCTTCACATTTCCCCATCTAAGGAAACTGAGGCTCAGAGAGGTGGTAAAGGGACTTGGCCAAGGTCACAGAGCAAGTGCATGAGGAGGCAGGATTTGAATCCGGGGCTTACTGACCCTCCAAATCAGCCCGTTATCCATAGCTGCCAAGGAAGCTTGCCAAGGCAATTCTTTCCCTTTCCATTTTCTCTGGGAGTTGGTCCCTTCCATCATTCCCCCCTTCTCATTGTTCAATCTCACTGAATCCTTACCTGCTGCCTCTATGCCTAGATCTTTTCTTAGGAAACCTTCACTTGAAACCCTGTCATCCATGTAAGCCTTCTTCCTTTAGCTCTCCTTCCTCACACAAGCAAACTCTTAGGAAAACCTACTCCTCTCCCCATTCTGGCAATCTGGCTTTCTGGTCTACCATTCAACCACCCCGGGGCTCACTTCTTAACCTGGGCACCAACAGCCTCTTATTTGCTGTATAATAAGGAACGTAGATCGAGTGCTAAAGGGGCCATCTTCAACCTATTTTACAGATTAGGAAACCGAGGCCCAGGGAAATGAAGTCACTTTTCCAGGGGTAACACAAGTAATAAACACCAGAGGCTGGATTTGAACACCCCATCTCCCCTTCTGACTTATGGCAGCTAGGGGGCGCCATAGTGCATGGAGCACGGGGCTGGGAATCAGGAAAACTCATCTTCCTAAATTCAAGTCTGATCTCAGACACTCCTAGCTGTGTGACCCAGCTTCACATTGTGTGCCTCAATTTCCTCATCTGTAAAATGAGCTGAAGAAGGAAACAGCAGTGTCTCTACCAAGAAAACCTCAAATGGGGTCACAGAGGGTCAGGCACAGTTCGACAACCATCTTTTACCAGTCTAATGATTTTACATGCTTTCTGGGGCTCTCTTCCCACCAGACTGAGGACTTGTAGTATCAGGAGCTCTGGTACTCCCTGAATGACCACAGCTGCATAGATCTAGAGGTAGAAGGAACTTTTCGTGGACGTTACCAAGCCTGTTCATTTTTATCCATAAGGAAAGTGAAGGCAAGCCAAGCCAAGCTAATGAACTTGTCCAAGGTTAGCTGAGCAGGGGCTGTATTTGAACTTAGACACACTGGTTCCAAACCCAGCATTCTTTCCAGCACGTGGGCGGAGTCATTATCTACCCCTCTGTCTGGATGAATATGGGAGGGGTCACCCTGAAGGCTGGAGCTGGCTGCTTGCTTCTCCTCTCAGACTGGAGGCTCCCTCCCCAGGGGAGGGGTCTGGGTCACCCTCTTAGATGGGGGGGCGTAGCTCTTGGAGAACTGTGCTGGGCTGGGCTCCTTCAGTAACCAAGTGAGGGTATCTCATCTCCAGGCCAGAATCTGATGTTCATTCGAATGGGCAAGAAGTCCCTGGTGGTGTTTGACCGGAAGGACCGTCTGGAGCTTGTGAAGCAGGCCCACGTCACCTCCTCAGGCCTACATTGCACATTGCAGGAAACCAGAAAGAAGGTTTCCTTTAGCTACTACTGGCCCACCCTTGACCAAGATGTCTCCAAGTGGGTCAGTTGAGGATGGGCCCTGAGGCAGGGGAGGGGGGCACGCTCCCAGGAAAGAGAGATCTCAACAGACATGGGCTCCTGTCCTGCTCCTGCAGCGTGTTTTTCCTGTATGATCCTGGGAAAGTCACTTCATCCATCTAAGCCTCAGTTTCCTCACCTTTAAAATGAGGGGGTATAAGTCTTTCAGCTCTAACTGTGGAACTTTCCAGCCTTCTCCTTCTCTGGATTTTTGCTTTTGCATGGCATTCATCTCTTAGCCTGTAAGCTTTCCCTTGTGATGGAGATAAGAACAGAATCCAGGAGGGAGGTGGTTTGTTTTCCTCATCCCTGCTGGGGCCACACTCACTCATTATCATTCCATGGGAGTCACTCACTGTTCTGTCCATTTAAACTGGGCACTCCCTGTTTCCCAGTGAAAATTGAATGAGATCGTATTTGTAAAAGGCTTAGCACAGTGCCCAGCATACAGTAGGCACTTAAGAAATGCTCTATCTCTTCCCTTGTAATCATTGCAAATAATAGTTCCGGATTCTGCTTCCTTCACCCTACATGTCATCTATATCCCTTCACAGAAGTCTACCCAAGGTTCTTTGTGGGTATTTGTTAGTTACATGACTTGCTTAGCTAATTCCCCAAACAATGGGCACCCCCGCTTTATTTCCAGGCCTTGGCGATCACAAAAAGTGCTGCTATGAATATTTTGGTTGACATGGGGTCTTTCTTTTTTTGACCTCCTTGAGATTCATGCAAGAAATCCACTTTACAGAAAAGGAAAACTGAGGTCCTGGAGAAGAGACTTCCTCACACTCATTGGGGTCCAGGTTCCCCACTCAAGGAGGGGGCTTCACTCTATCCTTCCATGCAGCTTCATAGGCGGGTCTTCTACCTTGGGACCCCTGGCTAGCATCACCTCAAGGGATTGAGGGAGAGGGTGGGGGGTGGGGGGTTCTCTTTGTCCTTAAGCGAGGTAAGACCTTAGGGGGATTCTATCATGAGGTTTTCCCTCTTTCAGCCTGGTAAGGAATCCCAGAGTCCCATCTGGTTGGCATTCCCAGGCCAGGGGAAGCTGGTAGTGGGTGGCATATGGGAAGGGTCTGAGCTTGGCCAATCCTCAGTGGTTTTCATCCCCCTCCCCCACAGGTGAAGCAATGTAACTCTTGTCAGAAGCCCCGCCCAGAGAAGTCTCTGCCCATTCAGGTAACAGTCCCTGGGGGGGCCAGGTGGGCTGGGCTGGGGAATGAGAAGGAAGGGCAGCTGTATTGCCAGCTTGGGCGGGGGTCCAGTCGGTCCTCTCTGGACTTCCTTACCCTCCAAAGTGATCAAGAGAACCTTGAATTTAGAGTCAGGCTCTGGCTTGGACGGTCTTGTTCTGCCACTTTTTAGCTCTGTGACCTTAGACACATTCTTTGCCTTCTCTGGTCCTCAGTTTCTCCATCCATGGAAGTAGGAGGGTGGACCAGCTCAAGTCCCAAGAGTTGGTAGCATGATGTCTCTGCTTCCTGTGGGGCTTGCCGGGACGGGCTCTGGGATGGATAGGCAGGTGGTCAGTCCTTCTCTCCACAGGGTGTCCCCAAGAGTCACCGGAGTAAGGACCCTCTGCCTGTGCTTCAGGTGGAAGAGGTGAGTAGAGAGGATGGTAACAGCTGGGGAGGAGGGCAAGGGGAAATGGGAGGACATAAGCATTAATAAAGCACCTTCTACATGGTGCTTTGCACTTTACAAATATTATCTCATTTGAGCTTCACAAGAACGCTGGGAGGTAGGTGTTGTTATGATCCCCAATTTAGAGTTAAAGAAATTTAGGCAGACAAGGTTAAGTGACTGGCCCAGAGTCACATAGCTAGTAAGTGTCAGTCTGGATTTGAACTTGGGACTTCTTGACTCCTGGCCCGGTGGGCCACCCAGTGGCTCAACTGGTTGACAGTTAGATCTGTCCTTGTACCGAATGAGCCAAGACAGCAAGTTCTAGCATTTCCTCCAGGAAGGGGCTTTGGAAATCCTGGAAAGCTTGGGGCTGGGCAGAGTAGATGGTAGCCATCCTCTGGTGTCTTCCTTCAATGCTCCCCTGCCCCCATCCCTGGCTCCCAGAGCCTTTGAGGCCCTTTCCTGATGGTGTCCTGGGATTCTGCCCCTCAGGTCACACAGGCTTTTGAGCAGGTGGGCCTGGGCCTGGTGGGGCCCCTGGTGGAGACCTCCAATGGCTTCCGCTTCATCCTTTTGTCCGTGGACGCTTACTCCCGGTGGGTGGAGGCCTCGCCGCTGAAGGAACAAAATCCCGTGGAAGTGGCCCAGGCCCTGATTCCCTTCCTTCTCCGATTTGGCCGCCCCCAACTCCTGGTCACCACTCTTAGGGTTCCATTTGTGAGCCAGGTAAGGACAACTCCCCCCTTACAGATCAGGGTGGGGAGGGCTAGGGGTGGGCTCCTCCCTCCTCCCCCTTCTGTTGGAAGTCTATCCTTGCCTTCTGAAACCTAGCAGGCTCCCTAGAGCCCCTCTGGCATTTCCCCTTAGCCCTCCAGCTTCCTCTTCCCCAGCATCCACGGCCCCCTCCTTTCAAGGCCTCCTTTCCAGGTCCTTGTGGCTCCTCTGCAATGACCCCTCTCCCCTGCAGGTGAATCGGAGTCTCCGGCGCCAGCTCCAGGGCTTGGGGGTGCCCCTTGGCAAACTAGACATCGTTATGTCGGCATTCCAGCCAAAGATTAATAGCATCTTGTCCTTGACCTCCAGCTCTATCAGGAGGTGAGAACTAGCTGGCCCTGTCCTCTGGTCCTAGCAGACTTGCTGCCAGCAGAGAAGCCAGGGAGGGAGGAATAGAGAATTAGAGATTGTCCTTATCAGCTATAGGGGGAAACTGAGTCCCAAGGGGCAGAGCTGGGACTGGAACCCAGGGCCCCAGGTTCCCTGCTGCCCCCTCACAATTAGAGGAGCTGGGGTGGCGGTATGTTTGTAAGAGAAGAGGACTCTGAGAAGATGGGGGCTGGCCTGATCGTGACCAGGGCTCAGCTTGACCAATCCTGTCCTGGGCTTTAGGGGTATGGTGCCTGGAGGGGACGGATGTCACTCATGGAGACTGGGGCGGGGGTTGATGGAGAGAGTCCTGGCCTGAGGGCCAGAAGGCTCTCCACCAGTGTGTAATTAGGGACAAGTAACAGCACTCCTTTTTGGGGACCTCAGTTTCTTCATTTGTAAAACCGGGGAAGGGAGGGAAGTATTCATTAGTAAGCCTTTGGGGTCTCAGTTTCTTTATTTGTAAAACTGGGGTGGAGGGAGAGGAGCGTATCGAGCTGAAGGTTTCCTGCGTTGGGATGACTTAAAGCTTCAAGGACGTAGCGGGTGGGAGGGTCATTCCCCCTGGATCTGTGCCCCGCGGCGCTGGCCGAAAGACCGCTGCTTGCTTTCAGGACCCTGTGGAGCCTGGTGAAGGGGGACCTGGAGAAGTGGGACCTCTTCTTAGACAAAGCCCTCTTCTCCCTGAGAACGGCAGTGACAAAGAACAAAAGGAGAAGCCCCTTCCAGCTCCTTTATGGCCGCAAGCCCCGGGCCCCCCAAGACGTCCCCTCCCACTTTGATGTGAGTGTGGGCTCTGGGGCCTCCCTGCCCTCTCCGCAGGCTGCCTCTCTTGGCTGTGTTTCCCAGGTCCCACTGCGACTCCGGCCTGCTTCCTCTCCTTGCCTGCCCACCCTGCCCCCCAACTCTGAGCCCAAAGAAAGGATTCAAACCCAGGGCATTAGACTTTGAGGGTCCAGGACCAGGAGAATGGGACCTGAGACCTCAGGCTGCCCCTGTGCCCTCTGAGGGCCAGGGGCCGCGCCATGGCCTGCATTCCTACCTTGTCTTGGGGTCTTATGTCACTTAGCTTCTGTTTCTTCGCTGTTGAAGTGACGGGGTTGGACTTGACCTCTCAGCCCCCTTCTGGTTTTAAATCTCTGGACCCACGATCCCTGTGAGGTGACTGTAAGCCCCATTAGGGGTCCATCTGCGGAGGGGCCTCCCTGCCTCCAGCACCCCTTCTGAATCTTCCCTTTAGACTTCAGTCCAGCAGTGGAGGGTTAACAAAAGGGGCATTGGACTGGCAGTTTGGATGCCTGGGTTCTCAAGTGATGTTTCCTCTGTAGAACTCCTGAGCAGTGGTGGTCCCAAGTTTCCCTGACCCCCTCTTCCCTTAGCCCATGGGCTCTGCTCTATCCTGTGACTCTCTTCCTTTTCTCCATGTGCCGCCAGGTGGTTGCGGCAGACACTGTCGGTGACAGTGTGGGTGACACCCATGATGATAAGGAGCCCACGGAGACAGCTGAAACCATGAAGGGCCCTGTGACAGCTCCTGTTTCAGAACCCGTAGGGCAGCCGGAGGAAGAAGCCACGTGGGAGCCCTCACGGCCAACCGGGCAAGAGCCCATCCCAGAGCCCAGGCAGCAACCCATGCAACCGGAGCCCAGGCAAACATCCAGGCCAGAAACCACGGGGCAACTCATGCATCAGCCTGTGCCGGAGCCCATAAATCATATGTGGCAGCCCGTCCTGGGGCCCATTCACCAACCTGTGCTCCAGTCTATTCAGCAGTCCCTGACTCAGTCTACCCACCAGCCCATTTACCGGCCCATTCCACAGCCCATCCACCAGTCTATGCAGCAGCCCGTGACCCAGCCTGTGCAGCAGCCCATGACCCCGTCTGCATATCAGCCCATGACTCAGTCTACATATCAGCCCATGACTCAGTCTGCGTATCAGCCCATGATCCAGTCTACATATCAGCCGATGCACCAGCCTATGCTTCAGCCCCTGACTCAGTCTATGCAGCCATCAATGCACCAGTCTGTGCATCAGCCCGTGACCCAGTCTATGCAGCAGCCGATGCACCAGTCTATGCAGCAGCCGATGCACCAGTCTATCCAGCAGCCCATGACCCAGTCTATGCAGCAGGCCATCATGGCAGAACCTATGCATCTACCCATGCCGAGGCTGACAGAATGCCCTGTTGTGAGCGGCTGGGGCCAAGGAACAACCCCCAGCCTGGATGCTCCCTGGGAAAAGTGGGAGCCTGGTGGAGGAGCCTATTGGACCCAGTGGAGGGAGCCTGGCAACTAGTGGGAGAAGTGAAGCAGCACACTTCCATCCCGTATCTTTTTTATTCTTTTGGCAAGGTGATTGGGGTTAAGTGACTTGCTCAGGGTCACATAGCTAGTAAGTGTCAAGTCTGAGACCGCATTTGAACTCGGGTCCTCCTGACTCCAGGGCAGGTGCTCTATCCACTGCGCCACCTCGCTGCCCCTTTCTTATATATATATATTTTTTACACTTCTATCCTTAAGTCCAATTAGATGCCCAATCCATGCGGGTGGGGGGTGGGGGGGTATAGAAACTGGTCTTGGGAATGGACCATAATCCTCCCGTCCATGTGACTCTGGCTCTGGGGATGAGAATGGGGCTGTGAATTAGGACCTCCAGACTCTTGGATATTGTTACCCCTGTGGCCCCATCCTTCAATTCATTTGTGAAGTTCCTACTGTGTGCCAGCAATTGGGGACACAATGACAAAAACAAGAAAGCCTCTGTCCTCAATGAACTTACATTCTACTGGGGACAATGGGGTTAATACATTATTCCATCAATCAACAAAGATTTATTACTCATCTTTTATGTTCTAGACACTGGAGATACAGAGGCCAGAAGTGAGGCAAGCCCTGTCCTCAAATTATTGGGGAGACATGTACAGATAGACAGGTGTCCCAAAAGTCTTAGTGCAGTTTTAACCTATTAAAACTTTAAAATGTCACTAAGACTTTTGGGATACCTTATACAGCAGGTAATCAATACCAGGGTAGTTGGGTGTGGGGGATGGGATGAGGCAGAAAGCACAAGTCAGGGTGACTAACAGACATCTGGGAGAATATGGCAGGTGCGGAGGTAGAGTTTTCTAGGCTGGGAAAACAGCCTGGGCAAAGACTTGGGAGCTGGAGCTGGAGCTGGGGGTTATGTCTGGACCCACACAAAAGCCAGTTTGGGGATGGAAATGTAGGTTAGATCCAGGTTGTAAAAGAGTTTGAGATTTCTGGGGTAATTGGGAGCCATGGAAGTTGCTGGAGTAATAGCAGCTACTCTGATAAATAATTGGGATCAGGAAAGCTCTCCTATAGGAGATCTATTAAGTGCTGACTACATGCTAAATGTGCTAAATGTTTTATGTCTTCCACCTCATTTTTATCTTCACAAAGGCTTCTTATGAGGTGAAGGCGAATTGGAGATAAGTTCTAAGCATGCAGGATAGATAGAGCCTCTGCAAAAACTGGAGCGAGATCTTCCAATCCAGGGAGAAGTGCAGAGCAGGTCAGTTTGGCTGGAATGGAAGGTTTGGGCAGAGGATGCAAAAACAGCTTAGATGGGTTGGGGCCAGATGGGAAAGCCATTCAACCTGAGGCATGTATATTGCATCCCAGAATTTGGAATTAGGGGAGCAGCGGAGTCCTAGTAATTATCTTTAAGACATGTGGAGAAAAGTTTAGAGGTTGGAGGCAGGCAGGCCAATGAGAAGGCTACTGTAATCGTCCTAGCAAGACAATATGGTTTGTCCTTTTTAAAGAAGACCAGTGATATCATAGGATGAGGACTCCCCACGTGGGTTGGATTTAAGTGAGACAGACACACACAAAGTGGCCAGCCTCACTCCTGCAGCCATCAGGGTCCAGTGGCAGGACCAAGGTCATTCTGCCAGAGGAAGTCTTACTTCCCACAGCTTCACAGCGCCTGCTTTATCCGTGCTTGGGGTGGACATTCTCCTAACTCCCTGATAAGTTGGAAATCTGGCTCTGACCCCCGACTTGGCTTAGCCTGTCTGCTGAGATAGTTTGACTGAGATGTGGCCCCTGTGCAAGCAGGACAGTCCTAGCAAGACAATATGGTTTGTCCTTTTTAAAGAAGACCAGTGATATCATAGGATGAGGACTCCCCACGTGGGTTGGATTTAAGTGAGACAGACACACACAAAGTGGCCAGCCTCACTCCTGCAGCCATCAGGGTCCAGTGGCAGGACCAAGGTCATTCTGCCAGAGGAAGTCTTACTTCCCACAGCTTCACAGCGCCTGCTTTATCCGTGCTTGGGGTGGACATTCTCCTAACTCCCTGATAAGTTGGAAATCTGGCTCTGACCCCCGACTTGGCTTAGCCTGTCTGCTGAGATAGTTTGACTGAGATGTGGCCCCTGTGCATTCCACCGCTTCTTGGAGTCACAAGGGACAGCTGGGTGGCAGGTGGATGGATGAGCAGGCCTGAAAGGACTCTGCAAGTCCCCATACCCGAGGTGATGTCCTCTTTGGACACTGCAGACTTCACGTAGGCTTGAACTGGTGTTCATTGGGTGAAGAGGGCTGCCCCTGAGAGATGGAGAGGTACCATGGGCGCTCGGCAACTGATCAGATGTGGGGCAACCAGTGGGTGGGAAGACGTGGCGGATTTATGGAGGACTTGGAGCCTGGGAAACTGGAAGACAATGGACTGAACTGGATTCAGGGAAAGAAAGATGAGATTTTCAACAAGTAGGAGATCCACTGAGACAACCCCCTACTCTGGGCAAACTTGGTAGTAGACATCTTTGGGTGCACGCAACATATGATGCCTCATAGTCTGTGAAACAGAGGTAATTCCCTGGAAAGAACCCTAGAGGTTGGGTCAGAGGCCCTGGACTTCTGTTACTTCTCTGGAGATGCCACTAAAATTCTCTATCAAATGAGATGGCCCCTGAGATTTCTTCTGGGTCTGGATCCTAGGAAACCTCAGGGGAATTGGATGATAGCAGCCCAAGCCTGAGGCCAGGCCAGGCAAGGCAAGGCAGAGATGCTGGGCAGGAGTAGAGCATTGTCACACCAGCTACGGTGATCTGGGGTAGAGTTGGAGGGAGCAGTTTCACATTGCTGGCGCTGGCAGAAGCCAAATTGTCTGCAAAGGACTGATCAGCCAGTGGGAGTGGAGAAAGTGGAGGCACGGAGAGGGCAGTGTTTTTAGGAGTTTGGCTGTGAAAGGAGGGAGGAGAGATTGGAGACTGATAGCTTGAGGGAGTGGAGCTGAGTCAAGTGGAAGCTGAGGGGACTGGAGAATTTGTTGGTGGCAGGGAGGGAGGAGCCTGGAGAGGGGCCAGGTTGGGTCCTTAGGAGGGGAAGATGGGATCTGATAAAAACCCTGAGTAGAATGGAAGAAGGCCAGGGAGAGGAGGGGCAGGGGAGGATGAAGTACTGGGTTTGGGAGCGTAAAGGAGCAAGAAAGGAAGATCTCATTTTTGTACAAAGACAAGGCCCTCTGCCGAGTGGGGGTGGGCAGGAAAAGAGGTCCTTGCATCCTGGGAGGCTTGACAAGAGAAGGCCGAATAGAGGGATCAGATGCCAGCAGAGGGAGCTTAATGGAGATTAGATAACATTAATTTGATCCCAGGCCTGGGAGTCAAGAGTTTTCCCTTGGCTCTATCACATTTAGGCTCCAGGTCCCTAGTTTGGGGTCTGATGGAAGGGATCTGGGAGGTGGGTAGGCAAGAGGGAGATTCTTGGGGGAAGGAGGGCCTGTGTGGCCCTGTGTGTGAAAAGAGCTAGAATTCAATACTCCTGGCCTTGCCCTTGGACGGATGGGGAGACCCTGGAATGCCTTCCCTCTAACCAGGAAATAGGAGGACCCTTGTCTTGGAAGGCTCAACCCACGTGCCACCTCTGGTCCGTCTCTAAACACAAACTTGTATTTCATATTTTCTCCCCCAAACTGCCTTATTTATGGTTCTTCCACTGGATTTTACATTATAAATGACACTGACACAGTTCGCTTAGAATCAGCTGTGGATTGAGCTCTGGGAAAAATGGGGAAGACCTACCAGCTACAGGATGGTAAAAGGGGGTAGGGAGATTAACACTGGAAAGAGCCCCTGGGGACCTGGATACAACTTTTGCCTTTGAAGGCTGAAGTACTTTTTGGATCTTAGACCCTTCTCCCATTCTGGGCCTCAGTTTCCTCACCTAAAATAAGGACGCTGGGCTTTTGACCTCTGCTTCTGGATGGGAGGGAGGTTCCACAGTCAGGGTTGGGGGGAGGTGGAGGCGGAGGCGGTGGGCCTGTGTTCTCGAGAGGAATCCTGTGCCTGGCGGGCCCTAGCCCTCCCCTGACCTCGATAGCTGCTCCTGATTGAGACGGGGTGGGGGGGCGCATTGATCCTGTATCCAAGTGGCCTTTCGGGGGTCAATAAGTTGGGAGAACAGGAGCTGAGGTTCTGTTCTGGGACTGTTCTTAGGGTCTGAAGGAGCCGGCGCGGGAGCCCCCCTCCCGGCCACACCGTCTGCAGTCTGGATCTCCCCAGCCTGGGTGTGGCCTGGACCAACCTGCCCAGACAGACCCTCGCGGGGCCCCTCCACTCCGCGGCAGCCTCCCGGCTAGCCTCCTGGGGTTTCCGGACGTGGCTTTGCGTGGCTGGGACTCGGGCATCCAGCACACGCGTGGGACCCGCCTCCTCACCCTTGTACCTCCCCCCACCTTCCATTCCAGATGGGCCAGCCAGTGGGGGCGTGGCCCGGAGACTTCGGCTTGGGTATTGGCTGGACCCGAGCGTTCGGAAGGGGCGTGGCATGGCCCGGGGAGTTTCGAGGGGGCGTGGCGCGGGCCGCAGCGCTCCGGGGGGGGCGGGGCGGAGAGAAGCAGAAGCCACAGCTGCAGGAGGAGGAGGAGGAACCGGGCCTTGGGGCTGGCTGGGCGGCTGTGGGGCCCGGCAGCAGCAGCCGCAGCCGCAGCCGCAGCCGCCTCGGCGGCCCCTCGCTCCTCCTCCTCCTCCTCCTCCTCCTCCGAGCGGCCACCTCCCAGCCCCCGGGCCTCCCGGGCTCGGCGGATCGGCGAGCTTGGCCCGATGGAGCTGCACATTCTGGAGCACCGGGTCCGGGTGCTGAGCATCGCGCGCCCGGGACTCTGGCTCTATACGCACCCGCTTGTCAAGCTGCTCTTTCTGCGGCAGCGGAGCCGGTAAGGCTGAGGCCAGAGGTGGGGGCCCTGCCTGCCCCCTGGCAGCGCTGGGCTCCCCTGAGGCCGGCTGCTAAGCCCCTTCCTGCTCTCCCACCCTAGCCCGGGCTCTGGGATAAGAATGATGATAACCGCGTTCCTCTGCCTCATTTAATCCTCGAGCCAGCTCCGCAGGCCCTTATTATCCCCACTTTACAGAAGGGGCCACTGAGATTCCGAGGGATTGTAGTGACTTGCCCAGAGACGCCCAGAAAGCGAACGGTGGCGGCCCCGAAGCTGCCCCTGCCCCCACCCCCAGCGTGCTTGGACTTGTCCTCGTTCCAAGCCTTGACATATACACGGGGGGAGGTGTTGAACGTTCCAGCCCTAATGGTGGTTTTCTAGCAGACTTCGGGCATTCCGTGAAGCTCGAGTTCACGCGCCAGCTGGGCAGCTTAGTGGCTGTGGGGCCCTGGACAGCTTACTCCCCCCGCCCCGGACCTCACTTTGCTCTACTGTCAAACGAGGGAGTCGGGCCCTGTGAGCTATTCTAATGTCTAAGGGACCTCCCAGCTCCAGCATTCTTTGGGTCAGTGGGTCAGAGGGATGAGTACCAGCAGGGGTCACCCTGGCCAGCCCTTGGGAAATTGGTTACTAGGTGGTTCCTTCCCCCGGGCCAGTAGGAAAGGGACTGGGTTTTGTGGATGGAGATACGGGGTGGGGGGGGGAGCTTAGGGAACAGCCGATACCCCCTGTACCCATCATTCCCCTTCTTCCCCTCCTCCCCATGGGCAAGGGTTTCCAGGGGACCCAATTTGTTCTGCTTGAATGGTGCCTGGGCAAAGTCCACTCACTTTCCTTGAGTCTGGCCCATCCTTTCCTATCCCTCCTTCCACTCTGCCTCTGGACTTTGGGATCAGGGGGATGAGGGAGTGCCTTGCCTTGGCTCATGGGAGTCCCTTCTCCTTAGGTGCAAGTTTTTCAGCCTTACAGAAACCCCAGAAGATTACACTCTGATGCTGGATGAAGAAGGATACAAAGGTATTGGGTTCTGGCTTCTCCCCTGGTCTCCTCAGTCCCTCTTCCTCCAGACCCTGCCAAGGGGCACCCCTTGACTGCCTGTATGTGCCAGGCAGACACCCTTATCAGTATGCTTAAGACAGGTGGTCAGGGCCTGGGACAGGAGAGAAGGATGGAGGCTGCAGAGCCCAGTGAAATGGGCAGCACCTGGGTTCCTGCCCCGGCTGTTCCAGAGGGGAGTGGCAGCACCAGGTTGGTTTCTTTGTTTTCTTTTGGCTTTTTTGGCCAGGCAGTCGGGTTTAAGTGACTTGCCCAAGGTCACACAGCTAGTAAGTGTCAAGTGTTTGAGGCTGGATTTGAACTCAGGTCCTCCTGGCTCCAAGGCTGGAGCTCTATGCATTGCACCACCTAGCTGCCCCTGGAAGCACCTTGGATAGGTGGTGAGCCTCCCATCGAGGCTGGATGTTCGAATGTTCATTCAGGACACTGCCCAGGACATTCTGGGACAGGCTTGTGATGGCTGTTTCATCTCTGTACCTATTTCCTTAGGATCCCAGCTCTGCTGCTCTGCTGTGGCTGAGTGATATTGGCCAAGTCACTTCCCTTTTCCAAGATCGTGGTTTCCTTCTTGGTAAAATAGTAATAATAGTGCACATTTATAGATAGCTTTAAGGAGTGCAAAGCACTTTGGACCAGAAGAGTTGCCCCCTGGACTCCATGTCCTGTGCCCCCCAGGGTGGGGTGGGGAGAGGGAAGGAGCCACATTGGCACAGGAGGGTTCTGATAATTGCTGTTTCCTGATGCTGTCCTCAGAGCCCCCCCCCACTCCCCCTCCCCCTCTGGAAGAGAGCAGAATAGCTGACCGCCACCTCCCAGGGTGACAGTGGCATTTCTTGAAATCAGGGTCTAGTATCAGCTGAGGGTCTAGGAGCTCTGGGGGGTAGGTAGATGGGAGCTAGCTGGTGATCAAGGCAGATGAAGTGGAAGATTTTCCAAATCTGGACCCAACGCATGGGCTGTATATATGTTGATGAGCTGGGTCCCAGGGCTAGAAGCTGCCTGCCTTCACACCTCTTTCTATTTCCTGTTGTGGCCTCAGAGACAGGGCCTGGTGCTTGGGGATGCTGCTTGCCCTGGGGTTCTGCCAGGCTTCTCCACAAGGAGCTCATCCAGGAACAGGCCTGAGGTGCCCAGGCTCTCAGTCCCTGGCACTGGCCACAAACGAGCCAGAGGAGACTGATAAGATCTAGAGTTAGGAAGAACTTCAGAAGCATCTGGTACCAACCTTTCTGTGTACAAATGAGGAAACAGACACCCTAACGTGAAAAGTGACATGCCTAAGGTCTCATAGGGCATGAGACCTCGTGGCTGAGCTGAGATCTGAACCCAGGTCCTCTTGATCTTTTCTATATACTTGTTGCAAAGTAGTAGTAATTCGTTAAACTTATTAAGCACCTACTGTATTCAAGGCACTGGGGTTGCCAAGACAAAAATAAAATATCTGTCCTCTAAGGAGCTTATATTCTACTGTGGGGGATTAACAATAATAATAATGATAATTAGTGTTTGTATATCTCTTTAAGGTTGGCAAAGTGTTTTTCTTTTTTTCTTTTTCCTTTTTTTTTGGGGGGGGGAGGCAATTGAGGTTAAGGGAATTGCCCAGGGTACCACAGCTAGTGAGTGTCCGAAGACAGATTTGAACTTAGGTCCTCCTAATTCCAGGGCTGGTTCTCCATAACTGTCACCTAGCTGCCCCACAAAGTATTTTTTTATATCTCATTTGATGTACACAGACAAGTAAATGCAAAGCAAAACAAAGTTATTTCAAGAGGTAGAACTACCAGCCATGGAAATGTATTGTATCCATTGCTACTTCGACAGTGCAAGTCAATTTTGTTACTATTGCCGTTTTTACTATATTAGCTTCACCTAGCCATGGGCATTGACTCTCTTTCCAGTTACTGTAAAAACTAGTATAGTTGACTTTTTCTGCATCTGATGTTTGCCTTGCTAGGGGAGGATCTAAATGTTTGGTCTGGTCCATTTTATCATTCTTGTGAATTGTCTTCTAGCCTTCTGCAGTGTAAAGACTGGGGTCCCTGGGGCCCTGCTCCGAAGCTAGTGGGGAGGCCTGGTCCAGAGCCCACTGAGGGAAAGGAGGAAAGAGAGAATTCACACTCCGCCCCTCCCCCCCCCCCCCCCCCCCCCCCCGTTAGCTGTCTTCCTTCCTGACCACAGTCTCCTGCCCTGTCCTTCCTCCCCATCTCAGTTACCAGTTGGCCTCCTTCATCTAGGAAGGCTTCCTGGGCTGCTTTTGTGAGCTGGAAGGATGGGCCCATGCTGGGCCTGGGGCTACAGCGGAAGCACCTGGCTAGGTTATGCCTCCCATGTATGGAGGGGTAGGGAAGGCCCTTTCTTTTGGGAGAGTTGAGGGTGAGAGGAGGTGGGGTGAATACTTTGCTTGATTATTTACCTGATGTCTCCTTTCCTGGGAATGTAAGCTCCCCGAGGGCAGGAGCCTTTCTTTTCCTTTCCTGTGTTTAGCATAATGCTTAATAAATGGGGATTGTTTGGTGAGTGAATGGGACTGAGTCTAGGAAGGGGGGGAGGGTTTCTGGGCCATTCTGGGAAGGGCCCAGGGAGGATGTTGTGAGCTAAGAGGGGAGTAATGAACCACAGGTCTCCTCTGGCATACCAGCTCGCTGACCTTGGGTGAGAGATACCTTGGTTGCCTTTCCTGTCTTCCCCAGCTTGGTCCCTCTCACCCCCAAGGCCTGGCCAGAGCTGGCGAATCTTCTAAGAAACCCCAGGTTGCCCAGCCACATGCATGCTTTGGAGGCAGCCTGGGGATCTGGGTTGGAATCGTACCGCCATTCACTGGCTATGGGACCTGGAGAGAGTAAGGCACTCCCAGTGTCACTGAGAGTCATTTTCAGGGGTCCTCTTGAGGTGGCCAACTCAAATAGAGCCGGGGCCACCAAAATGAACACAAAGATCCTTGAGAGCTGCAGATTCCATTCTGCTGTATTTTTATTTCTTTTGTGAAGTAATTGCCAATTCCATTTGAATCTGATTCGGTGCCATAGGCTGCAACTTGGTGGGTGGCGTATTGAGGCCTTGGATCTAACCCAACCCATAGCTCAGCCTGGGCAGCCAACCTCTCCAAGCCATGGTGTCTTTCCCGGAGCTTGGACTAGGTCAGGGGTGGGGTTCCTTCGGAACCGAGCAATGAAGTTGGGATTCAGTGAAAGGGCCGTGCACTTGAGGACCTAGAGGTCCATACGTGGCCTTGAGGCCACAAGTTCCCCACCCTGGGACTAGGTGGTCATGAAGAGGCCGCTAACTCTAAACCCCAGGGTCCTAGGTTCAAATCTCGCTCTACCGCTGGTGCAGCAAGGTGGCTCAGTGGATAGAGCTCCTGCCTTAGAACCGGGAGGACCTGAGTTCAAATGTGGCCTCAGACACTTGACACTAGCTATGTGACCCTGGGCAAGTCACTTAACCTCGATTGCCTCACTAAAAACAAAAACCAGCAACCCAAATCTTACTATTTATTAACCTTTGTGACCTTGGGTAAGTCATTTGAGGATCCAAGAGCTTAACATAGGAAGTGTTTTGCAGACTGTAAAGTGCTATATAACAATGCAGGCCTTTACTGTTATTATTAATAATAATCTCCTTGAACCTCAGTTTCCTTAGTTGTGTAATGAGGGGGTTGGACTTGTGCAGCGCTAGACCTCTGGTTCTCTAACTGTAGGGAAGGGGAAGCCTCCTAACCTTGGGGTCCAGGTGGGCCTTGGCCTGGGCCTGGGGCTGGGGCTAGGGGGAACCCAAGCTCAGCTCTGCTCCTACTCTTCCCTTGAGCTTTCCCCTTCCTCTCTGGCTCCTCCTCCTCCTTGACTTTCTTTCCTCTGCCTCTAGAGGTGCCCATCAGTGCCCGCCTTCCAGCTGCCTCTCAGCTGCTGCCTGCTGCCCCAGGCCTAGGAAGCTGGAGCATCAAAGCTAGGGGCTTCTGTTCAAATCAAGCTGCCCAGACTCACTCAGCTGGTGCTTGGCTCTGGGTCCAGAGGCAGAGAGAGGCAGCTCTTCCCTGAGCTCAGAACAATGACGTCAGCCATAGAAGGGATCTTTGTTGTTGCTCAGTCATTTTTCATGACCCCATTTGGGGTTTTCTTGGTGAAGATTCTGGACTGGTTTTCATTACCTCTCCAGATCATTTTACAAATGAGGAAATTGAGGCAAACAGAGCAAAGTGACTTGCCCAGGGTCACACAGCTGGTCAGTATCTGAGGCTGTATTCATTGCAGTGCCCCCTAGAAGGGATTTAGGTGTCATCTATTCTAAGCTCATTTTATGGAGGAGCAAAGTGAGTCCCAGGGAAGGGACTTTCCTAAGACCACATAGCTAGTAAATAAAATATCAGAGCAGGATCTGAACACAGGGCTTGTGACTCAAACTGAGGGCTCTTTCCACCGAGCTCTGGCTGCTCAGGCTGGCTCCTCGTTTGGCCCCAGCTGTGTCTAGGCTCAGGCCCTCCTCTGTCCTGCCTGGGATGCTGAGGCGGGTGGGGTGTGCGTGCTACGGTCATGGAGCGGTCAGGGCCTGTCCATTCGGGCTGAGAGGAAGGAAGCCAGCCTGGGCAGCCTTGATGCCAACAAAGGCAGCTTTTGTGTGTGCCTTGGCACCCTGAGGGAAGGCTCAGGCCCTTCCCCCAGCTCAGGATGAAACCTCTGACCTCAGCCCATCCCTGGCCCAGCCTTTCCAGTCCATGCAGTTCCCTGGCGTTCAGTGCATCTCTCATTTCCCAGTTCGGGAGTGGGATTTGCAGAGGGGCGAATTTAGCTCAAGATAAGAAAACTTCCTCCCATCAGAGCTGTCCCAAAGTAGGATGGGCTGCCTCAGGAGGTAGTGAGCCCCCCGTCACTGGAGGTCTTCAAGAACAGTCTGGGTGACTGCTTGTTGGACCTTCTGCAGAGGGTTTTTGGTTCTGGCTTGGAGGTGCCTCCAAGCTCTGGCATTCAGGCCGTCTACCACGAGCCCTTCCCTCCATGCAGGGTCAGGGCTCCTTTCCTCCGGGCCACCCCCCTGCCCAATGCCTAGTTCCTAGGGGGATCGTGAGGCCATAGATTTAGAGCTTGAAGGGTCTTTCATCTCCCTTCACCTGCTTTTGCGAAAGACAAAATGTTCTGGAAAGCTGTGACTTGTCCAAGGTCACCCAGCCTATGGGAAGTCAAGCCGGCCTTTGACTCCAGGGCTGGCTCCCTCAGCTCTCAGGCCCATCCCTCCCATTTCCACCAGGAAGGTCGGGCAGGGTGCCATCAGAGCCGCGGGCAGTGCTGGGGTGGGAAATAGCTTGATTGGTGGCCTCTGCCCCTGGCGGCTGCAGCCTCCCCTCTCTTGTTCACTGGCTCCCTCTTGTGGTCAGCGGTGTCACGTCGCTAACAAGGTTCCACCCTCTGCCCCATCTGCGGGCTGATTGGCCTGGCCACCCCTGCCGGCACCCAGGCCTGGGAACTTTCCTCCCACGGCCTGCTATTCTCTCAGCCCTTTCACAGAAGGCTAGCCCTTCCCTGGGTAGGAGGGTGTCGTCCTCGCTTTGGGATGCGTGGAACTGGAAGAGGTGGAAAGGATTCTCTGGGGTCATCTGGGCCCCCAACCGTGGGGTCCGTCTTGGAAGCAGGCGGAGGCCTGGGACAGAGTCAGGATCCAGTTCCTGGAAAGGATCAGCCTCAGTTTATACCCTGGGATGGGGAGATGGGCTGGGACTGCTTGGATCTTAGGATCACTGAGCTGGAAAGGACCGTCTACTCCAACTGGTGCCAGAGCAGAAATCCCTGCCAAGATGGCCACCTGCTTGCTTTGCAGACATAGGTGCTGGGTTCCAATCCTGGCTTTGTAACCAACTCTCTGTGTGACTGTGGACCAGTCACTAGACCTGTCTGGGCCTTATCTCCTTTTCTGTAAAAAGGAAGCATTGGACCAGCTGGTCTCCAGGGCCCGAGGCTCCGGGAAGGGGACCCTCTATTTCCCAAGCAGTTCGTCCTTCTTGGAGACAGCAAAGGGGAGGCTCCTTTCAGCTGTCTGGTCTAGGACCCTGATGACTCACATGTCTGTGCCACTCCCTGGCCGATGCCACGTACTACACTGCTGGGTCCTTGTGATATCCCCAGAGGGATTGTTATGGCCCTCGAGGAGCCGGAGGCCCACAGCAGGGAAGTGACTTGGCTAAGACCCTACGGAGATCAGCGGCAGGCTGGGCCTAGAGTCAGGTCTCCTGACACCGACTGCGGGGATTCTGCCCTTAGAGGGTGGCGCTGTGGTCTGGGCTGAGGAGGAGGAAGGAAGGAAGGCCCTGGCCCTCATGTACTGACCTGCTCTCTTTCCTGCAGAGCTGCCCCCGTCCGAGTTCTTGCAGGTGGCCGAGGCCACGTGGCTGGTGCTCAACGTCCTATCTAACAGCAGCTCAGCCACCGATTTTCAGGCCGTCGGCGTCACCAAGATCGCGCGGTCAGTCATAGCTCCCCTGGCTGAGCACCACGTCTCGGTGCTCATGTTGTCCACGTACCAGACAGACTTCATCCTGGTGAGACTGGCAGGGATGGGGGAGGGGGGCCCATCCTGGGTCCTTTGGTCAGATGAGGTGGGGGGCATCTTCTCCCCCGAAGCCTTGGTGAGAAAGAGGGCCTCGTGTCTGCCCGATTCTGCCAGGCTTTGGGGGGCAGGAGTGCGAGAAGCAAGAGGGGAGAAGACGTGCCCCAGGCACGTGTCTGTTCATGCCCTTTTCCCAGGGACCTCCTGGACAAGTCCAAGTGGGGTCCCCGTGCTTACAGAAGAAGGAGAAGGAGATGGGGAGAGAGATACAGAGAGGGGGAGACAGAGAGGGGATGAGAGATACAGAGAGACTCAGGGAGATGGGGAGAGAGATAGAGAGATACAGGGAGACACAGGGAGACGGGGAGAGAGATAGACACAGGGAGAGGGGGAGAGAGATAGACAGGGAGAGGAGGAGAGAGATAGACAGGGGAGAGGGGGACAGAGATAGACACAGAGACACAGGGAGAGGGGGAGAGAGAGACACAGAAACATGGAAAGGGAGAGAGAGATAGAGACACAGGGAGAAGGAGAGAGATAGAGAGACACAGAGAGACACAGGGAGAGGGGGAGAGAGATAGAGAGACAGAGAGGGGGAGAGAGATAGAGACACAGGGAGAGGGGGAGAGAGAGACACACAGAAACATGGAAAGGGAGAGAGAGATAGAGACACAGGGAGAAGGAGAGAGAGACACAGGGAGAAGGGGAGAGAGATAGACAGGGAGAGGGGGAGAGAGATAGAGACACAGGGAGAGGGGGAGAGATACAGAGACACAGACACAGGGAGGGGGAGAGAGATAGAGAGACACAGGGAGGGGGGAGAGAACGAAGGAATGAATTCGAGGGTCGCTGCTCACATACTCTATGCATGAACAAGCTGAGGAGTGTGTACCGTGTTTAGCACATGTATGATGGTGTATGTCCATGTGGGTCTGCTGGGGACTTGGGGGGTGTCATGTAACTGAGTGGCTCCTTAGCCTTCGCTCTGGGCTGCAGGTCCGGGAGCAGGACCTGCCTGTGGTGATCCATACTCTGTCCCAGGAATTTGCCATCTACCGGGAGGTCGATGGAGAGCCCGTGCCGGTGGCCTGCGATGATGCCAGCAACGGCTTCCACAAAGCCAGACTGGGTGAGGGGCCACCAGGGTAGGGGCAGAGGGGGAGGGCCGCGCCTGCCTGGGACGGCCGCTGAAACGCCATTCCTTCCCATGCCCTCCCCTCGCCCCTCCTGGCTCTGGTTTGGCTGGACTCTGTTCCCAAAGGCTTGTGACGTTGTTATCCTCTTTAAAAAATGATTGCTATCACTCATCTCCCCCCCCCCGCCCACCTCAGCCAACCCCTTGGGTATTTTTCTTTTTAATTAAATTTTTAACATTTTTTTGGAGAGCCAGCCCTTGTAACAAGGAGGGGAGTGGGGAGCCAGTCCAGCCCAGCCAGTCCAATCTCCACCCAGTCTAACAGTAGATTCTGTGTTCTGTGCCCATAGCCCCCCACCTCTGGAAGGGAGGGAGGTGGGTCTTTAGTCATGCTATTTTTCATAATGACGCCTGTGGCATTATTAATGGGGAGGGTATAAATACCCTTTGGAGAAGGCGGGGGGGGGCAGGGACAGTGAGCCTGGCTTTTCAGGGGAGATGGCCTTGGTCCTGAGCAAAGCGGGACTTCTCCAAGATCCTGCAGTTAATGGCTGATTGGCCCAGGGGATTAGCAAGCCCTTACCTTTCCTGTGAGATGCCCTGAGCTCTGTCTAGAGGGCTCCTTCTGTGTGGCCACCAGGGGGAGCCGCCTCCCCAGCCCTAGCAGGCTGCCGGGCTGAGCCCTGGGTGACATTTACAGGTCTCTTCTCCCTTCCCTGAGTCAGGCCCCAGCCCCACTGTGCACCCCATCCAGAGCCCCCAGAACAGATTCTGCATTCTCACGCTGGACCCTGACACCCTCCCTGCCATTGCCACCACGCTCATGGATGTCCTCTTCTACTCCCACAGGTAGGGACCTGGAAGCCACTCTTCTGCCCTTCTCTTCTCTCCCATCCCTTCCCCCTGCCTTCCAGATGGGGAAACTGAGGCCCAGATTGGGGAAAGGAAAGCCAAACCTCTAGAATCATAGAACTTCAGAACTGGAAGGGACCTTATGGCATAAAATACAAAGTTTAGGTCCCATAAAATACAAAGTTTAGGTCCCATTCCTTTATTTTACAGAGGGGGAAACTGAGGTCCAGTGTGGGGAAAGGTTATAGAGCAATTATCATGGAAAGTGAGGTCAGGTAGGGTCCTTAGAATAGGGAAGATTGGAGGTGGGAGGAGCCTCAGAACAGGGACTATCAGGGCTGGGAGGGACATTAGAACAGGAAATGTCAAGAGCTAGGGAGGGACCTTAGAGCATAGAATGTCAGAGTTGCAAAGGACCTTTTAGATCATTTTATATATAGGGAAACTGAGGCACAAAGGCAGGAAGGGACTTTCCCAAGGTCACTAAGGCAGTCCTAGCATCACCCCTCCCTTTTCTCACCTATTGCACACCCCCACACTGAGTTGAGCTCCTGGTTGCTTCCCAGCCCTTTCGGAGGGGAGAGGGAGCTATGGTGGGGGGGGCAGAGCTGACTGTCCTCCCTCCTTCTCTCTTCTCACCTCCCCAGTGCTTCAAAGGAGGGGTCTTCTGATGACCCGGACCTTGACTCCATCCCCTTCTTTGCCTTCTCCCTGATCGAGGGCTACATCTCTATTGTGATGGATGCAGAAACACAGAAGAAGTAGGTAACCCACCCTGTGACCCTAGGTTGGGGGGAGGCCATGTCCTTCGCTTCTCTGGTGACAGTGAGATCCCAGGGCCTCTTGAGAGAGACACATACCTGTGGTAGTCACAGAATGGAATGGGGCCTTAGGACCTGGAGGAGCAGAGCTGGGAGGGCCTTCAGGATGACCCAGTCTAACCCCCACATTCTACAGAGGACAAAGCTTTTTCAGAGAGGGGAAGTCACTTACCTATGGTCACCCAGTGAGGTAGGGGCAGGGTTGGGGCCAGAAGCCATGGTTCTCGATTCCCTGCCTGAGACCTGGCCCAGCACTGAAGCAGTGCTCCCGCCGCATTCTACAGAGCAGAAAATTGAGTCACAGAGACTTGTCCAGGCTCCCACCGCCAGCACTGGGGAGGGAGGGAGGATGAGTTAGGGGGCAAGGGGAGGTGCCGACTCTGCCTTCTCGCCCCTAGGTTTCCCAGTGACCTGCTGCTCACTAGCTCCTGCGGAGAACTCTGGAGAATGGTTCGAATCGGGGGCCAGCCCCTGGGCTTCGGTTAGTCCTGGCTGGCCAGGGAGCTCCCTGGGACCATAATAGGGGTGGGCAAAGGTCCTGAGGCTTTCATCTTTGGCAGCCCTGGGTCTGGGTTGAGGTCCCTGGCCAGCTCGGTCCATTTGGGGGTGGAGTGGGAGCAGGTGGGACCAGAGACAGCATGGTAAATGGCCCTGGGCAATTCAACTTGGCACACATTAAGTGCCTACTATGTGCCAGGCCCTGAGACTACAGCCACACAAATGATCCCGTTCCTGCCCTCAGGGAGCTTACATTCTGCTGGGGAATAGCTGCTAAACACCAGAGATGTACGAAATCCAAAGTGATTTCAAGGTTGTGGGGGTTCTAACATGTGGGGAGGAGGTGACAATGGGGCTAAAGAAACATCAGAGAAAGGAAAGATTTCTTTTTTCTTTTTTGGCAATTGGGGTAAACACACAGCTAGTCTTTGGTCTGAGGCCAGATTTGAACTCAGGTCCTCCTGACTTCAGGGCCGGTGCTCTATCCACTGCGCCACCCAGCTGCCCTGAAAGGCGAGATTTCTGAAAGGCAAAGCTGGGGCAGGGAGAGATATGAGGCTTGGGGAACGCAGACCATTTGGTCGGAATATAGGGGGAGGGGACTGCTGGGTATCAGTCGGGAAAGGGGGACGAGGGCCAGGCAAACGGAGGTTGTCAAAGCTAGCTGTCTCATTTTTCCAGAGGAGGAATGTGACTGGCCCAGGGTCACTCAGCAAGGATGTGGAAGAAGTCGAATTCAGATGCTTTGAGTTCAGTTCAGTAAGCATTTATGAAACACTACCTACACGGTGCTTGGCTGATCCAAATGCATCAGCCCCTACCCTCCGGGAGCTTGCATTCTGAAGGTGCACTTGAGAGGTGCTGAGGAGTGGAGGAACCGTCAGCCTTCATAGGTTCATTGGCTGAAGCAGTGCTCCCGCCGCATTCTACAGAGCAGAAAACTGAGTCGCAGAGACTTGTCTAGGCTCCCACCGCCTGCAGGTCTCAGAGTGGCTCGGGGGCCGTCCTCCCCTGACAAAGCTAGGGAGTGTCGTGGGCTTCCCGTCCACTTCCATCCGGTCCGCCTAGGAGACCTAAGGAGAAGCCAGCTCCCACTGCCTTCCTTTTACCTCCTTCCTTCCCCTTCTCTCCTTGTCCCAGATGAGTGTGGGATTGTGGCCCAGATCGCGGGACCCCTGGCCGCTGCGGACATCTCTGCCTACTACATTAGTACCTTCAACTTTGACCATGCCCTGGTGAGTGTCTACCCCTTCCCAAAAGCCAGGCCCTCCTGGGCCTAAGTTACCCCTCGGCCCCAGGACCAGTGCAGGGCATGCACGTCACAGACGGAGCTAGAAGGGATCTCAGAGTCCATCTCATCCTACCCTCTTGTTTTAGAGCGGTGGAGATGGGCCCAGAGAAATGAAGAGATTTGCTCATGTCACCCAGCCTGGCAGTGCCCCAGGATTTGCTCTTCAGCACTTCCCTCTAGAAGGTCACTGGTCTCGGGAAGCCCAGCTCTCCCCATGTCCCTGCCCCTTTAAGCAGGGCCTGTGGTGCTCTTTCCTTCTTCCTCCTGTGCCCACAGGTACCTGAGGATGGCATCGACAGTGTCATTGAGGTCCTCCAGAATCGCCAGGAGAGCCGCTGTTAGTGACTGGATCGGGAACCTATGTCCCTGTGGCTCAGGCTGGTGGACACTCCCCTGCCACTGTCCTCTTCTTTGGTGGGGTTCTGGTGTCTCCAAAGGCTAAACCAAAGCTTTGCCCCATGGCAGTGGGGGCTGGTCTGGTGCCCCCTCTGTTAGGTATGCATGAGGGGGACATCCCCTGGGACCACCTTTCACTCTAATTTTAAGTAGTTGGTTTTCTGGTCCTGTTGTGTGAGCAGGTGCCTGGGGTAGGGGACTGGACACCCCAGGGACTAGGGGTAGGAGGAGAGATGATCTCAAGCCTTCCCTCCCATCCTTTGGAACCTGGGTCATTTTCTTGACCTCCTCTTGGAGCAGGCCCTGCTCTAAGGCCCAGCCCCCAGTGGGTGGGGATTAGGGAGGGCCCTCACTCTAGGCCAGAGCTGGCTTCCTTCAGTCCTTGTTCCCCATGTCCTCCCCTGGAGGGCAGGAAAGCTAAGAGGCCTGGCCTCTACTGCACAAAACACTCATGTGTGCCTTATCCGTGAAGCTTTGTGGGCTCACTGTGTGCCCACAAAGTGGAATCATGGTGCTGTAGAAGGCTTCACTTAGGAAGCCTCAAGCCTTGACACTCCCCTGCCCCAGCCCTTGGTAAATGTCTTTGCACATACTCCTTCCGTGTGGGGCTGGGGGCTCTCTGGGAGGGAGATCCCTCTCTCTTTCCTTCCCCGCTTTCAGCAGCCCTCTCTCCTGCCCCTCTCCATGGTCCTGGGAGGAAGCTTCCTCTGCAGAGGGCTGGTCCTCACACCCTTCCTCTCCTAGGGGACAGCCCATGATCACTGTCCCATCTTTGGGGAGGAACCTCCTGTTTTTAAGAAATCTCCTTGCCAATAAAGCACTTTGCAATCCTGGACTATGTCTAAGACATTGGTGGTGTGTCCGGGCCCCCTTCTCAGTCGGCCTGCCCTCCCTAGGGGAATTCAGGGCATATTCTCCCAAACCCGGGGTCTGGCAGGGCAGGGTGGAGCAGCAGAAAGCACATGGGCTTTAGAAGTGGAGAACCTGGGTTTGAGTTCTGCCTTTGTTATTTACTGTATGACCTTGGGGAAGTCACTTCCCTCTTTGGGCCTCGTCCCCATATGCAAAATGAGGAGGGACAGCTGGGCTGCATCCCTTCAAGCTCTGATGGTCTACTTGGCACCAAGCCTCCATCTCTGCTCTCTAAAGAAGACTGTTGCAGAAAAAGAATGGGATTTCAAGCTGCAGGTTCTGGGCTTGAGTCTCAGCTCTGCCATTGACTAGCCAGGGGACCACCAGGAAGTCATAACCTCCCCAGGCCTCACTGTTCTCCTCTGTAAACTGAGGGCTTGGGGTAGACTAAAATCACTCCCAAAGGTCTCTCCAGCTCTTAATTCACTAACCTTACAATGATTTATTCCTGTAAAGTGGGGAAAAACAGAGGGAATAGAAAATTGGAAATGAGGGCTGAAGGTTCCAGTCTGAAAACACTAGAACTGGGCCAGCACAATGCCCTGCAGCACCTAGGATGGGGCCATCTTCCTTAAGGGCTTAGAGTACCTGGCCCTGCCTCCCACCTTGTCCTTTCCCCCTCCCCTCTACCCACGGGCATCTTCAGAGCCCACCCTTTGGTGTGGATTCCAGATTGAGGTCCAGGATACCATGGAGAAAGACAGTCTTGGGCTGGGCTAGACCCCTGAGCCCATCTTGTCCAGTCTACCCAAACCGGAATCTCCCTCTGTGGCATTTCTGACAAGTGGTTGTCAATTTGAAGACCTCTAGTGATGGGAAGCTCATTTACTACCTGATGATGCAGCCCGCTTCACCTTGGGATGGCTCCAATGATTAGGAGGTTTTTCCTTTCATCAAGCCCAACTCTCCCTCTTTCAGCACCCACTGTATGCTCCTAGTTTGGCCCTCTAGGTTCAAATCAGTCAGTAAGCATTTATTAAGCACCTACTGTAAGCCAGGCACTGTACCAAAGAAAGGCAAAAGATGGGCCCTGCCCTCAGGGAGTTCACAGTCTAATGGGAGAGACCACAAGCAAATATATAGACAGACAAAGAAAGCTCTAGAGAGGATCCATAGGGAAAACTGAGAGGCAAAGCGCAGGAATGAAGAGGCATTGGGAAAGGCTTCTTGTAGAGGATGGGATTTTCACTGGGACTTGCTGGAAGCCAGGAGGCAGAGCATTCCAGGCATGAGGCAGAGCCGGTCTACAGCCGAGAGATGGGGTGTCATGTGTGAGGAAGAGACAGGATTCAAGGATATGTGTCAAGACATTTAAGGCATAAGAAGACCAGAAAGGGGGGCAGCTAGATGGGGCAGTGGATAGATCACCGGCCTTGGATTCAGGGAGACCTGAGTTCAAATCTGGCCAAAGACACTTGACACTAACTGTGTAACCCTGGGCAAGTCACTTAACTCCGATTGCCTCGGGGAAAAAAAAAAGTAGACTGGAAAGGGAGAAGGGGGCCAGGTTAGGAAGGGCTTTGAATGCCAAATAGCATTTTGTATTTGCTCCTGGAGGTAATAGGGAGCCACTGCAGTTTACTGAGGAGGGGTGATGTGGTCAGATCTGCACTTTAGGATAATCACTTTAGTGGCTGAATGGAGGAGGGATTGGAGTGGGGAGATCCTTGAGGCAGCAAACCCACCAGCAGCTATTGCAATAATTCAGGTATGAGGTGAGCAGGGCCTACGCATCAAGACAGAAGGAGGTGTATAGGAGAAGGGCTGTAAAGGTGATATCGGCAGGCCATGGGGGCTGAGAGATGGGCGTGTAGGATGACTCCAAGGGTGGGAGCCTGAGGGAGGAGGATGTTGCTCTCTGCAGTAACAGGGAAGGTAGGACGGGGGGAGGGTTTAGGGACATAGACATCTGAGTTCTGTTTTGGACTCACTGAGCTGAAGGTGCCTACTGGATGTCCAGTTGGAGATGTCTGAGAAACAGTTGGAGGTCAGCAGAGAATGGGGCAGAATAGCTACATTTGAGAATTGTCAGCATAGAGATGGTCATTAAATCCATGGAAACTGATGAGATTGGCAAGTGAAGTAGCTTGGAGAGAGGAGAAGAGAGGCCAGGACAGAACTGCTGAGGGACTCCAATAGTTAGAGGGTGTGATTTGGAGAAGCAGACAGAAGGAGCAGGCAAAGAGAAGGAGAACCAGGAGAGGAGGAGAGGGGAGGGGAGGGGAGGGGAGGGATGGGATGTCCTAGAAACCTAGAGAGGATCAAGGAGAAGAGAATGATCAGCAGGGTCAAAGGCTGCAGAGAGGTCAAGAAGAATGAGGATTGAGGAAAAGCCATTGGATTTGGCAAGAGATGTGTGGAGAGTAAGTGGTAAGTTCGGAGAGAGTGCTGGTGGGAGGAGAGTGTCAAGAGTTAAGAGGTGAGATCTTAGCGGCACCTATGGCAGATGGCTCTTTCAAGGCATTTAGCTGCAAAAGGCAGCAGAGATACAGGACAATAGTTATCGAGGACAGAAGGATCAAGTGAAGGTTTTTTGAGGATGGGAGAGACGTGGGCATATTTGTAGGCAGAAGGGAGTGAGCCAATAGGCAGAGAGATGGGGAAGATGGGTAGTCCGTCAGATGGGATGCAATGGGATCTCCTGTGCAAGGGGAGCGGGTGGGCACTGGTGTGGAGCAAGGCTGCCTCTTCATGTGAGGCAGGGGTGGAAGAGACAGTGATAGGAGATGCGGAAGAGGGGAGAAGAGGGAGCTCACAGCCAACGGCCTAAACTTCTGCTGTAAAGGATGAGACAAAGTTCTCAAGTGAGAGGGTGGGGAGCCATGGGAAGTTTGGGGCCAGGCAGTGAGGCTGGGGCAGCCACGGGGAGGGTAAACTCAAATTCCTTCCCTCACAGCTGAGGTTGTCCCAAAGCCAGCTCCTCAGCCCCAGAGCTTGACATAGTGCTGTTCTGTCACTGGGAGAGGGAAGGACTGCGGGGGAGCCCTCAGGAAGGCAGCTGCAGTCACAGACTCTGTCCTGGGGGTATTTCCCTGGCCCTCCCAATGGGAGATGGGAGGGAAGTGGGTGACATCATCCTCTCGCCCTGATGGTTGAGTAGGGGCGATGTAGTCAGATCTGCACTTCAGAAAAATCAAATTAGGGGCTGAATGGAGGAGGGATTGGAGTGGGGAGATCCTTGAGGCAGGCAGAGCCCCCCCCTCCCCAGCAGCCACTGCAACAGTCCAGGTATGAGGTGACATTATCCTCTCGCCTCATCCTTGGTTTTGGTCTCTGGCTTTGCTGAGTCTCAGGCAGGAATCCCAGAACCTCAGAGCTAGAAAGGATCTCAGCAATGTCCAGTCCAACTCACACCTGAACGAAAAGAGGATGTCTGGCCTCTGCTTGTGAGAGGGGGAGCCAGCTGCCTTTTGGGTCCGCCCTGTCTACCTTGGGGCCATCTCACGGACAGTCTAAATTGGCTTCTTTGTCACAGCTACAACAGAACCCAATAACACCCCCCCACCCCCCCACCCCCACACACACCCCTACACACTGTGTGGCCCCAGGAATGTAGAATAAGTCTGGAAAGGTAGGCTGGGGCCAGATTTGAAGGGCTTTAAATGCTGGTGTGCAGTGGAGAGAGGGCTGCACCTAGAGTCAGGAAGGTTCATCTTCCTGAGTTCAGATCTGGCTGCAGACATTTACTAGCTGTGTGACCCTGGGCAAGTCACTTCACCCTGTTTGCCTCAAGTTTCTTCATCTAGAAAATGAGCTGGAGAAGGAAATGGCAAACCGCTCCAGTATCTGTGCCAAGAGAACCCCAGTTGGGGTCCTGGAGAGTCAGACATGACTGAGAATGGCCGAACAATAAAAGCCAAAATGGCCCTAGGACAGATGATGGGAGTGGGCACACCGACAGCTTGTGGATGGTCAGTCTGCCCCACACAACTGTGTGATCCTTGACACTGGCTTCCTTTCTCTGGGCCTCAGCGTCTCCGTCCCTGGTGCTGAGGGTGCTTGCCACCCTGCTCACTTCCTTCAAGTCTCGGATAAAACCCCACCTCCTGCAAGAAGCCTTTCTTGGGTCTTCCGCCAGGCCTGCCTTCCCTCCAAAATGCCTTCTGGTTTACTTGTTCTGATCTTGATCCTGTATAGCTGTTCTTTCATGTTTCCTGTTTTAGATCTTGAGCCCTGAGAGCAAGGACTGTTCTGGCTTCTCTGTATCTCTGGTGCTTAGACGCTGTGGGAGCTTAATAGATGCTTATTGGTGGACTCTAATCTCTAGCCCCATATGACATCCATCTGTGTGTGTCTCTTCAAGTGGGTTTGGGGGTGTCTCTGTGTGTGTGTGTGTGTCTTTGGGCAGCATCTGCTTGTGTGGGATGATAGGACCTTCTTTTTCCTTGACATGGAAACTGCCTTCCTGGTGTCTTGGTGATCACTGAATGTTTGGGGCTGTAAACACGGGCCCTTTGGGTCCCTTCGGCCTGGGGAGTAGGCTGGCCTCGCCTTGATCACAGGCCACGTCAGGGACCAGAGGAGTGTGGCAACCCTGTGGTCTGTGGTTCACTTCTGTCCCTGAGTCTGGGCAGGTCAGGATCCCCTGCAGCCCTGCTATGTACGGCTTTGATCTGAGTTCCGACTTGGCCAGCTCCCTTGGCATTTTCTTTCTGGGTGTGGTATGTACAGTGTATATTTTGTCTCTCCCATTCAAATGTAACCTCCTTGAGGGCAGGAGCTAAGACCTCTTTGCTTTTGCATTCCCTGCACCCAAGA